TATATTGAAGTCTTGAGTGGTCTTAAGTGATCTTGAGATTCCATTCAACCAATGACCATACAGCGTTTCGAGGTCGTATTTGAAATCATCAAACATACAAAAATGTGAATGCGCCGCTCAAGTCATACGTATTTGAAGAAAAATGAATAAATGAAATAAATATCTGATGAATAAAATAATTATCAAATTACATTCACTATCGATAAATGTGATTATATTTAATTGCTTAGTTATTGAATATTTATTGTTATATTTAATATTATTTCAATATTTTATATTTCATATTTCAAGTAACGTGATTTAATATATTTAAAAAGAAGTTATTTAGAGAGGGAGAAAAAAAAGAAGAGAAAAAAAAATTATTTAATAGAAAAATGCAAAATATAAAGTTATTTAAATTTACTTTTTAATATTATATTTAGCTATACTCACTCTCCAATTTCTTTATTTTCCTAATCTCTGAAGTGTAAATAAAAGTAGTTTAAAATTGTACATAAAATTCTTAAAATAGATAAGCAATTTTTAATATTTCTGCAATAATAACATTAAATCGGTTAACTTGACTATGCAGTTAAGTATTTATCCGAGATTTTTTAAACGTCGTCAACCAGAATTTTGCTTATATAGTATATACAAATGTGCACAGCTTGTGTTAAATTCCAATATCAGCAATATGACTACCAATCGTACACAATTATCCGACAGGATAATTTGCAGTTATTGAAGCGTGGTCAATTTAATTTCAGTATAAATATATATTCCTGAGAATAGTTCTCGTAAAAACTATCACAAGTTTCTCACAAATAGATTTGTAACTGTATCAAATTATATTTACAAAAAATATTCACTATTGCATGACATGCTACTTGAATTGAAAATTTGAATGTCGTTAGCTATCAGGAATAATAATGTCAAGAAACGTTCGTGTTTATCGCGTTTCGCAAATAAATCAATTATATTTAAGAAAACAGCCTTAAATGACGACAGCTGCTTTGGAAAATATGATTTTAACTTTACGTCACGGTACAGTGCTTTGCAATTCAATGAAAAAAATTAATAGTATTAATTAATTTTGATAGTAGAAAACTAATGTAAAAACTAAAATAAAAATAGGTAATTAATTCAATTAATTAAGTTTTCTATTAACATATTATTATTTATGTATGAGTTAATTTATTTTCAAAATCTAAAAGTGCAAACATTTTCCTTTCATGATAATTTTGAAAAAATGTAATATATGCTTATTTTTATTGCTAATTTTTATTTAAATTCGACATTTCGAACTTTAATTTTTATACATTGTTTTAAACACAAACTTTACAAATCTTCATCTAGTCATGAGTATTATTTCACAATCCAGTTTTAACAAGCCGTACTCTTTTAAAGACTTATTTACATATATACACACAGGGTGAGTCATAGGTCATGTAGGTTTTAAAATTATATAATATTAATTGCAAATCCTTGTCAGAATAACAGATACAAATACCTACAGTAGTGTTAATAATGATTATATATAAAAATTTTAACTGAATATCATGTTTTACAAGAAATGCTTAAAGTGTTTTCTATCATTTTCCATACATGATTGAGCACGATACATGACTGATTTTTTTATGTTTATTTGTGTTAAATATTTCAAGAGCAAGAAGTTTGCGATATAATGTCTATAAGAATATTTATTCTTCTTTTATTTAAAAACACGCTCACGAAATTTTGAAGTATACTTATAATTATATAATGCTTTATCTATTATACATATTTTATACATATGCAATTATAATTTCTAAAAGCGTAACTTTTTGCTAAGTTAGAAATAATTCCCTTCTTTTTTATTTACTTTGAATTTATTATAATATATTAATTATAAAAGCTAATAATGATAATATATCAACAAAGTCAACAAAGAATTGATTAAATTAAAAAATTGAATAATAAATGATTTTTTTAAGCTAATCACGTATTTCTAAGATATACACTAAAATTTTATTGGAGTAACAGAATAACATAATTTTTTACAAAACAATTTTATTTAATAATAATCTCATCTTTTAAAGTTATACAAATTTCTAAACTTAATTTTAAATAATTCTATTTAATTTTGTCTATATTCTAATAAAAGTGAACAAATTTAGCAAATTTTAAAATAAGATTTTTTTTAATTAGTTTGCAAAAATTAAATTGTATAATTTATAGAAATATTTACATTATATAATTTTTTAATGACTTGTTTATACTTAAACGAGAATAATTTAAAAACCGAATTTATCAAGATCCGTTATAAGAGAATTGATCTACAATTCAATTTATATACTTTCTCTGCTTGTAAATGTAAAATTTGTCATAATATGTTTTTGAGTTAAAAGGACATTTTATAGACAAAAACAAATCTATTTATAATAATTAAATTATCCTATTAAATAAATTTTTATTATCTATTTTTATGAAATACAAACAAAAATTTGACAAAATTTATGTATTTTTGTATTAGAATTTATCTACTTAATATTTCACTTTGCTGTAGTATTTACTTAAAATTTGTTTGACTTTTTGTAATTCTATTTGCTGTATTTTTAAAATCATTTTAGATATGTTGATTACTGGAAAAAAATACATTATACATTAAAACAATCAATGTGTTACTAATGAAATCATCTTATATATTATGTAAAATATTTTAACGTGGTGAATAAATTTCTCAGTTAAAAGATTCAATGCAAAATGTATATCCTTATATATACACATGTTAACAGCTGAAGTTTCTTCGTTTAGTCATTGCAATCATTAAATACGACAGTCAGTACAATTTTTTAAATTTCTTTTTTTTTAATAATTATCTTCTTCTACAATATTATGTCAGTACCATGTTATGTTATGTATCTAATAAGCAAAAAATATTAGATCAGCGTTTCGAAATATTGATTTTATATAAATTTTTCAACATTTTTATATAACACACACATTTAATAAATATAGTTACAATATTACCTAATAATATTTATGAACATTTAAAAAGCGTTCTTAATAGATTTCAAATATTCAAATGTTCAAATATTTTATAAATATATCACAGAACGTTAAAAAACGTTGTTAAGATGTTGCAATATTAAATGTTAAAGCGTGAATGTTTTCAACATTGAATCTATATTGATTATTAATATTGCTACAATGTTGAAACAATATTGAACAAATAAATAAAGTTGCTCATTTAGAAGCAGTCCTCTAGATTAGACTTAACATAATAATTTTCCCATAAATAATCGTTACAATACAATAGAATAAATATAATTATGAGATTTTTCATTTGTATTCTAATGAAATGGTTTTTAGAGGAAAACTCACAAACTCTAACATGAAAATAATTGAAATGTATTTTGAAAGTATTTTGTGTAGTTTTGTGTAAAAATTAATTCAGGAATTTTATACTCTTGGAAAATTATATAATATTAAATAAATGTTAAACAGATGTTCTCGAATATCAAATTGCAACGTTTGCGAAACATTACTTTAACAAACATTGAACGTTTCTACAATACCTTTCAACATTTTGCAAAGTTGCAATTTAACATGTCTGAGATGTTGATTCAATATTATTGTTTGTTACGTATTCCTGATAGTATATCATCATTATCGAAATCTTTAAATTATGCTCAAAGTTTGTTCTTATAATGGTGTTGTGTATACAACATTAAATATTATATATTTAAAAATATGTTATATAAAAGTTGTAATAGTATCGCAGTAATGATTTTTTACTTACTGGATACTCATAGTCAATGTTAGTAGAATGTCTCCCCTCTACATGTTCCTCTTATTCACCTTCATATTCTTACATTTCCTTGTTCAGTCGAAGCGCGGTTATGGTTACGTTTACCACGATCTCTTATCGTATCTCATGCTATAAAGGATTCATCAACTTCCATCAGTTTTTATGTGTTTCGATCTAGGCGAGAAGCAGCATTCTAGAAGAAGCATTCCAAAGAAAGCATTTTTTACATGTTACAAAAACCTGAGTTGATAAAAAGCTGAATAATTATCAATTCATTGAAACGGTGATTGATTGAGTATTGTGATTGATTGTGAATTTTCTTTATTGATTTTCCAAGTGAAATTGGATAAATAGAAAAATATTTCCCGCTCTACTTAGAAACGCTAGTGAGATGACACGGAGAAGTAAAGACTATCTTGAAGACATGTTGGACATGTCAGAATTTTCAAACCTTAACGACAGTCAAAGCGAAATCCCCCAATTCTTCGCGGGATGCAACATATTAGTAACGGGTGGTTCCGGTTTTCTCGGTCAACTTCTAATAGAGAAATTATTGCGGTAAAAAGATATTTTAATATAAATGACTTCATGCAGAAACGATTTATATAATACATATTAACAATGTAAATAACTTTGCAATGAACCGTTTTTTTTTACATTATTTTAAAGGTGTTTCTTATAAATTTTTAGATACTGAAAATGATACCGTAAGCCAAATTTTACCAGTGCATTAAGTCGTCAAAATAATTTAGTTATACCAAAAATTGTTTTTTTTTTATAATATTATTTGACGTATTTTGTAAGAAAGATTAACGTTATTTTGAAATTCTGATCAGGCATAATAAATGTGTTGTTAACCTTTTTTATGAAAAATGTTAAATATTATAAAAAAGCAATTTTTGCACAACTTAATTATTTTGGAAACTTGACGTTGTTGATAAAATTTGGTTTGCGGCATTATTTTTATCATTAAAAATTTATTTAAAAAATACCTTGTTTAACATAAAATAATTAAATATTTCTTTTTTATTATAAATTAGTGTAATCCATTGAATCACGTTAATCTAACTAACTTAATGATCTGTAACACGCAAGTAATAGAACGTTAAATTAAAATGAACGTTTCACTTTTAGAAGATTAAATATAGTTGCTAATTAATTATTTTATTTGATATAAATTTATTAATAATAAATAACATCTCTAGATGCTGCCCGGATATAGAAAAGTTGTACATATTCATGAGAGCGAAAAAAGGAAAAACACCCGAACAAAGGTTCGAAGAACATTTCAA